GTGTGTGTGTGTGTGTGTGTGTGTGTGTGTGTGTGTGTGTGTGTGTGTGCTGTAGATGACGGCGTGAGCTGCAGGCCCGCTCTAACCAGCAGCTCACCCATCGTGTGCCATCCCAACCCACAGTCCACTCCTAAAGACCTGTGGGAACATTGAGTCAGACTATTTCCCTGGAGCTGCAGCTGAAAGGTTGTCCTTTGCTTGTTGAAAGGGTAAATTAAGGTGGTGAGGTTGTATTTAAGTTCATATTTCCCCCGAGTGTGAGAAGAGACCAAGGACACGGGACATTGATCGAGCTGAGTAAATGTTGCGCTGTCAGAAAACAGCTTTTAGATGAGAAAAGTGTTTGTCTTACTTAGAGCACCTGGCTGTGAGTTAGAAGAGACCAAACTACAGAACAAGATGATCTGAACCCTCTCTGTATCCTTTATTTCAAATAGATGAGTCTGAAATGATGGGTTGATTTTAAATACTGTCAAATTTAGAAAAATAAAGCTTATTTCAGGTCCACATGTTGTAAAATCTTCTGCAGCAAACTTTCAAATGTTGATTTAGAAACAAATTCATCTCGATATAATCATATCACATGACGTCTCCAGCAGAAAATACTGACTAACAGCTGATGTGAGGATTTTTAAATAAGCAGTTAGTTTTAAAAACTTTTCATTGTTCAGGATTTCTGAAATGACCTTTCTGAACCTCGCTACGCTTCCATGGTTGCTGGAACTTAATGAACGGGAGCACCTCTGTGAATCTGATGGGCTCACAGATGCTGTGCAGCAGCTGATGGTCCTCCCATGAGGGGGAGCCCTCCAGCAGAGGGTTCAATAGCTCATTATCAGCGGTCCCACTGGGTAATTAATGAACAGTGGGATCCTGTCACAGCAACAAATAAACATACACCCTCAGCACCACCGTGCTGCTTTAACAGGACACACGACTGGATGCTTGTCCACATCTTTTGAAGTGGGTTCTTCTGGAGACAATATGAACAAATGATATCTTACCTGCTGTAGATAGCTCTTAAAACTACCAGAAACAAAGTGTAAAGTCTGGCAACTTAATAATTAGTCTGAGGCCAGAACAAACCATAGCTGCCATCTTTAAAACCATTGCATCTAAAAACTCTGAGATGACTTTTTACAAACCTTCATATTGCTGTCAGTGTCACATTACTCAGTAATTCCAGTATAAATACTGGGATACTCTTGCTATAAATGCTCTAGCATGAACCTCAATTACTGATTGTTTTTGCACTTGCAACCAACAGTAGAGTTTTGCAAAAATCCAATGAAAATTTTGTTTTAGGGCAGTGTTTTAGTTCAAATTGATCCTGAACTTGTTAACTAGTCATCTCCAGCTACAAGTACTTGGGTGTGCACCTGAACAACAACCTCAGCTGGAGCAACAACACCACCAGCCTGATGAAGAAAGATCATCAGAGACTCTACTTCCTCAGACGGCTGAGACGAGCTGGTCTGGAAGCTCAGTCCTCACCTCCTTCTACAGGTGTGCAGTGGAGAGCATCCTGTGCTCCAGCATCAACGTGTGGCATGGAGGCTGCACAGCTGCAGAAAGAAAAGCTTTGCAGAGAGTGGTGAAGGCTGCACAGAAGATGTTGGAGTCAGTCTCCCCACCATCACAGACATCTACACCTCCAGATGCAGGAAGAGGGCCACCTGCATCATGAAGGACCACACTCACCCAGCACACACACTTTTTGCCCCACTCCCCTCAGGAAGGAGGTTGAGGAGCATTAAGTGTAGAACCACTAGACTGAGGAACAGCTTCTACCCTGAGGCTGTTAGACTCATGAATCTCTAACCACTCAGCCACAGCCACCCAGTCATTGCTCATTTTTCAAGTTATCAGCTCATGATGTTAAACATCATGAGATGACCACCACAATATATGTAAATATGTTAACTTAACATATTTACATATTGGTAGCCATCTTGGATTTTGAGAAAGCAACCCAACTTTTGAAAGGAACCTGTCTTACCCCTAGTGCCACACACTAAAATGGAAGTCTCACTTATTTTTCATGCACAGACAGACAGAACAGATGGAGGGGAGGGGATTTCCAATTCACCTCTTTTTGCTCCACGACAGGAGACAAAAACTCTTAAATAATAAAAAAAATACTTCTAACTAAAATAGTTTTATTTCTAGCCAATAATAAAGTGTAGCAGCAGCAGTTTCATCTAGTGAAGTTCTGAGGCATCTCACCATGCGGATGAAGCCAACGATGAGCAGAGACATAGATCTTTTCTCATCCTCAAGAGTCAGAGCGCTGTGGGACAAAGACAGAGGAGCTGCTGACTGAATGTTGATGCAAAAATTAAAAACAAAAAGCAGCAAACACCTTACTTCACTGAGTCGTGCATAGCTTTACAGATGTGAAGCATGGCGTTGAGGATGACAGGGTCTCTGGTGACCTCCACCTGATGTCTGCAGAGAAAACAGAATGCAGATCAGAAGAACATCCTTGATAGAGAGGAACGATGATTTGAGAGAGGAGTGAAGGAAGCCATCTTTGTTAAGAGAACCCATCCACCATTAAACGGGGCAGAGCCTCCGTGTCCAATTATCCCCCTCTGTTATTGCTAGTATCACTCAGCCTTCTGTGAATAGCAAGTGGCCATCGAGCCATTGTTAGGCTGATGGTCCTCTTTGATCATGTGAACAGCTGGTTGTGACTGTCAAAAACAAACTGGTTGATCCACCCTGAGAAGGGGCTATTTATAAGACTGAGTTTGATGCAGCTCCTCAGACTGAATAAGTCTATTGGATTAAAGATGAAACATTTCAACAAGTTTAAAAAAAAAATTTCAATCCATCCAGAGGACCTGTTAGAACTTTGTTAGATCAAAAGAAAAATTTTACTAAACCAAACGAGTTCCATTATCTCTGTTAACACGTCTTACTTGATGAAGACCTCCATGATGGACTTGCAGACCTCCACCCTCACGCTGTCCTTCTGGAACATGTCGAGGAACGGCAGGAAACGCTCCTGAGGAACAGACATGGAAAGACTTGTGGGACTGAGGCCTGATGATGGAACGTTAATAACGTTACTAACTTCTCACCATGGAGAAGAGGACGGAGAAGTCATGGAAGTAGGCGAGGATCTTTCTGATCACTGACTGCAGCTGCATACAGAACAAACAACAGTCAGTACAGAGCAGACGGACCGAGGGTCAGAGATCAAACCGGGGCGAGTCGTGCTCCAACCTGAGGGTAGGCATCTTCGAATGCTCGGTCCGGAGTCATGTGTTTGATGATGTCAGCTAGGACTGTGTTCACTTCTCGTTTCTGTGAGCGACACAACGCGTTTTAAAAAATTATCCAGTGTCGATGGTGAAAAGGCATTTTGGACTCACGGTGAAGTGTCGGCAGGTGAACTCCACCCAGATCTCAGCACAGTTGATGTAATCCTGAAAACCACCAGAGTTCACCAGTGATGATCTGAAGTGTCTGACTGGACCAACAGGGCTCTATTTGGTTAAGCCCAGTGTAAACTGTACACACCTGAGGATTGCGAACTTTGGTGATGACTTTCCAAGCTTCATTCAGGATCGTCAGCCTCTCGGGCTCTGGAGGGTCTGCACAGGCCAGACTACGGCCCAGAGAGCCAAACAGTAGATGCTGCAGAGGAAACAACACAGCCCAAAATGTTTATTTAATAAAAGACCACTTGTCGGAAAACAAAGAACTCTTTCCAGAATTTTCTATGAGTTTTTCTCTTCTACAACCCCAGTTTTGAAACAGCTAGTAAGTTTTGTTAAATATAAACCAAACAGAATGATTAGCACATCTGATGAACTCATATTTTATCCACAGTGGAACACAGTCAGCTAATGAAATGTTTATAGTTGCTCTATTGTGAGGAAGCAGTGCATCTAGTGGTTCTGCAGCTTTAATCTGATGAGGAAGAGGAGGATTTAGAATGATTGAAGATTGCACAGAACCATCCTGGACACAGCTAGACCACAACACTCCCTGGCTCAGATAGCCAAACCTTCTGCAGGCTGTTCCATGTGCCACTTACTTTCTTACAGCTAATGAGGTCCAGATCTCCAAGCAGACCTGTGATATTGTTTACGATCTTCACGTCCTTGGATTGCAAAGATGTAAACTGGAAAAATTATGTGCCCTCCAATCACATAATCCAAGAGTCCCATTTTTAACCTCTTGGACGATGTTCCAGTCAAACATCTAGACTCTTTTAGAAGTTACAACCTCTCTTCTTCAGGGGTCAACACATCGAAATAAGTTGCACAAAGTCTTGGTAATTATTTTTACACCGGATGATCTTCCTGACACAACCACAGAGCTACCACGGCCCTCTGTGTAGGGAAGAGAGCTGCTATCTAGGACACCCGGAGGAGCAGATGGTGGGGGTTAAGGGCTTTGCTCAAGGGCCCAGAGTGAGGCAAACAAGGGTGGAGGCAGGTGTGGGTGCTTCACTTTTATCACTCACATTTTTGACGTTGTCGATTTGGGGAGTTTAACCGGCGACCTTCCGATCACAGGCCCACCTTCTCTAACCTCTACGTCACTAACCCCCCTGGAAAAATTATAAACATTAGTCTCTCGTTACTTCACGGTTCATTTTTTGTGGACTTGCTCTATTGCAGTTTTTCAAAGTAAGAGTGGACATGACACACAACTGGCTGATTGATGGATGAGCCACATGACTGGCATAGACTTTTTATTTAAAATAAATTATTTAAATTACTTAGCACCTGCTGCACCTCTGTGCAGCCCACACTGCAGGAGAAGCTTCTCTAGCAGCATGTCAGGGTCGCCGTTCTGCAGCGGAGAAGTGCGCGTGGCCAACAGCACTGGCAGAAAGCAGCTGGAGGCAGAGAGCTGAGATCATGGCATGCTATGCTCTTTTAGAGTTTAGAGCATACTTGTCAAACTAAAGGCCCCTATAAACGAAGAGGAAGAAGGAAGCTTTTTCTGCAGATGTGGGCTGCACAAAGGTGGTGCTTAATATTTAAAATAATTTATTTTAAATAAAACTTCCATGCCGATCGTGCAGCTTATCCATCAATCAGCCAATTGTGTGTCATGTCTGAGCTTATTTTGAAAAAACGTGAAAGAGCGAGTCTGCAAAAAAAGGAAACGCGAAGTAGTGAGGGAATACTGCATATATAAATACTCAAATAAACTACTACTTATTACTTGTATTACTATTCCAACTTTGCGGTTTTTCACTTATCACGAGGCTTTAGGGTACGGATCCCCCGTGATAAACGAGGGACTACTGTATTAGTACTTGTTTTTACTATTACCAGTGTTAAAAGTGCACTGTTAAACTCTAAAAAAGTTAAATCTGGTCCTCTGGACATTCAAAAAACAAAACAAAGCAAAACAAAAAAAATGTAGAAACGTTTCGTCTTCAATCAATAGCTGTCAATAGCTTAAACACTTATGAACCTCTGAAAAGAGATCCAGGAAGTGGTTGCAAGAAAAAGTTGATAAGATTGCTGAAAATTTTGGAACAGGACAAGGCTATTGACCGTATTCTGTACCACAGACTGTACCCAGGGGAGGCCACACCTAGTCTGTATGGTTTACCTAAAATCCACAAACAAGGTGTACCTTTAAGACCTATTGTTAGCATGATTAACTCTGTCACTTACAGTGTTTCCAAATATCTGGTGTCTGTACTCATCCCTTTAGTTGGCAGCTCAGAACACCACATACAGAACACCATGGACTTTGTGGATAAGGTGAGGGA